AGTGTTTGAGGACTGGGACATCCATAGGGAGACCAAGGTGCTTGTTTATAAAGCTACTGTCCTCCCAATCCTGCCATATGCCTGTGAAACGTGGACTGTGTACAGATGTCACATGCAGCTCCTGGAACGATTCCATCAGCATTGCCTCCTGCAAATCTCTTGGGAAGACAGACAAATGTCAGTGTGCTGGAAGAAGCAAAGACCACCAACATTGAAGCAATGGTCCTCCACCATCAACTCCGCTGGACCGGCCACATTGTCCAGATGCCCGAGCACCGTTTCCCAATGCAGTTGCTCTACTCCGAACTCAAGATCAGAAAACGGAATGTTGGAGGACAGGATAATAATAATAATAATAATAATAATAATAATAATAATAATAATAATAATAATCTGCAAAGATTCTGGCACAAACCAGTAAATAATAAAGTAAAGGTGGGCCCAGTGGTGATTGGCACACTGGGTGTAGTGCCTAAAGACCTTGGCTTGCACTTAAACACAATCGGCGCTGACAAAATTACCATCTGCCAACTGCAAAAGGCCACCTTACTGGGATCTGCACACATTATTTGCCGATACATCACACAGCCCTACACACTTGGGAAGTGTCTGACGTGTGATCCAATTCAGAGTGTTCTTGTTTGTTCTTGTTTGTCGTGGACTCATCTTGTTGTGTTTCAAATAATAATAATAAATAAACTTTATTTATACCCTGCCACCATCTCCCCAAAGGGGACTCGGAGCAGCTTACATGAGGCCAAGCCCAACAACACCAGTAAAAACAAAAAGCAATAAACAAAAACAATAAATGCAATACAATTAATATAAATCACATATAAACAATAACCAATAAACAGTAACACACAAGGATTTAAAAAGCAATGGCCGGGCCAAATGTAATAGTTTAAAAATTTAAAAAATGGTAGCGGGGTATAAATAAAGTTTATTTATTTTATTATTAAGCTCAAACCTGACCAAGCAGCCATGCGGTCATCCCTTCTGAGCCTGGGTTTCAAGGACTGTTTCTCACAGAGTCTTCCTGACCTTCTCATGAACATTTCCTTTGCTCTCTCTGAGCAGAAACCTAATCTCGTATCATGGGACAACTCCCCATCCTCTGAAGGCAGAGAAGGCCGTGAAGGCTGATTCTTGTTGGGGTTCAGCCTGAGTTTGAACTTGAACCTGATTCTCTGTTTGTTCCTCCTGATGCTAATGAAAATATATTTACTGATGCTAATGAAAATATACTTCCTGATGCTAATGAAAATGTACTTCTTGATGTCAATGCTCCCGAAATTAATGAGGAAGAAACTTCTGTAGATTTGGAAAATGAAAGTACCAGTGTTCATGAGATTGTTTCAGAGGGAAGCCATGACCTTTCACTCCCTTCTGCATCTGGAAACTTAATGAGAATAGAAGGGGCCAGATCTGGCAAGACAGGAGTAAATCACTCAGCTTGCGAAGGTCTTCCCGATTAAAAGAAATACAAACAAGGGCTTCAAAGCAGGGAGGCGGTTCACGAAACCAATTCCTCGGCTTTAAGTGCCTTCTGCCGGGCTGACTTTCTCAGTTCAGGCATCGTTTTAGGTTGATGAAAACCTTGGCAGTTCTCCCGGTTTCCCTGGCCATCGTCTTGAGAAATTTCTAGGACACCAAGTACGGTTAGTGGATTGCTAACAGGTTCCAGTGTTTTACAGTGTGGCTTTGGGTTTTGATCTTATTCATGGACATTCATGTTTGCTGATTTTGCTGTGGCTTTTGACTTTGCATTTTTCCTTTATTTTGTAACCATTTTTCTTCAATAAAAAAGGATTGTTTTTTCACAGTCAAGTGTGGTGGATGTTTATCTTACGGCCTCGTTTCCTGCTCTGGATTGCAACAATTCTCAAGACAAACGGAATCCCAAACATGTTGTATCTCTTCTGCAGCTGTCGGCCCTTCTCTCTGATCGATGGCCTGCATTTCTGCCTGTGTTTCAGCCTGATCACACACAGAAACTCAGTGAAAAATCCACCATTCCCCTCATCCTCCAAGGCAGAATCCCCATCATCCCCAGCATCTTGTTGCTGAGCCCCAACAAGCATTTTATTCTCACTCACCTCCTTTACTTCGGCGTTCTGGGGGGACTTCGGCCACCAAGCATTTGTAGAACGGATCCTGTCCAAATCCATCTTGGAAAAGCCCTGAAAGAGAGCAAAAGACGGATGGACGGATGGAAGGATTTTTTTCTGTGTCAGGAGTGACTTGAGAAACTGCAAGTTGCTTCTGGTATGAGAGAATTGGCCATCTGCAAGGACATGTGAGAGGCATCTCTCATGTCCCCGCATGAGAAGCTGGAGCTGACAGATAGGAACTCACCCCGCTGCCCAGATTCAAACCGCTGACCTTTCGGTCAGCAGCCCTGCTGGCACAAAGGTTAGGGTTAGGGCGCCACCGGGGGCTCATAACAATGATAATATCTCATGTCCCCGCATGAGAAGCTGGAGCTGACAGACAGGAGCTCACTCCACTGCCTGGATTCAAACCGCTGAACTTTCGGTCAGCAGCCCTGCTGGCACAAAGGTTAGGGTTAGGGTGCCACCGGGGGTCATAAAAATGATAATATCTCATATCCCCAAATGAGAAGCTGGAGCTGACAAACAGGAGCTCACCCCACTGCCCAGATTCAAACCGCTGACCTTTCGGTCAGCAGCCCTGCTGGCACAAAGGTTAGGGTTAGGGTGCCACTGGGGGCTCATAAAAATGATAATATCTCATGTCCCCACATGAGAAGCTGGAGCTGACAGATAGGAGCTCACTCCGCTGCCCGGATTCAAACCTCCGACCTTTCAGTCAACAGCCCTGCTGGCACAAAGGTTAGGGTTAGGGAGCCACCGGGCGCTCATAAAAATCATAATATCTCATGTCCCCACATGAGAAGCTGGAGCTGACAAACAGGAGCTCACCCCACTGCCCAGATTCAAACCACTGACCTTTCGGTCAGCAGCCCTGCTGGCACAAAGGTTCGGGTTAGGGCGCCACTGGGGGCTCATAACAATGATAATATCTCATGTCCCCACATGAGAAGCTGGAGCTGACAGACAGGAGCTCACTCCACTGCCTGGATTCAAACCGCTGAACTTTCGGTCAGCAGCCCTGCTGGCACAAAGGTTAGGGTTAGGGCGCCACCGGGGGCTCATAACAATGATAATATCTCATGTCCCCACATGAGAAGCTGGAGCTGACAAACAGGAGCTCACCCCACTGCCCAGATTCAAACCGCTGACCTTTCGGTCAGCAGCCCTGCTGGCACAAAGGTTAGGGTTAGGGCGCCACCGGGGGCTCATAACAATGATAATATGTCCCCACATGAGAAGCTGGAGCTGACAGATAGGAGCTCACCCCACTGCCGGATTCAAACCGCTGACCTTTCGGTCAGCAGCCCTGCTGGCACAAAGGTTAGGGTTAGGGCGCTACCGGGGACTCATAACAATGATATCTCATGTCCCCGTATGAGAAGCTGGAGCTGACAGATAGGAGCTCACACCGCTCTCCGGATTCAAACCGCTGACCTTTTGGTCAGCAGCCCTGCTGGCACAAAGGTTAGGGTTAGGGCGCCACCGGGGGCTCATAACAATTATAATATCTCATGTCCCCGCATGAGAAGCTGGAGCTAACAGATAGGAGCTCATCCTGCTGTCCGGATTCAAACCGCTGACCTTTCGGTCAGCAGCCCTGCTGGCACAAAGGTTAGAGTCAGGGCGCCACCGGGAGCTCATAACAATGATAATATCTCATGTCCCCGCATGAGAAGCTGGAGCTGACAGACAGGAGCTCACCCTGCTGCCCGGATTCAAACCGCTGAACTTTTGGTCAGCAGCCCTGCTGGCACAAGGGTTAGGGTTAGGGCGCCACCGGGGGCTCATAACAATGATAATACCTTACCTGCCTCTCCTTGCAGCTTAACTCACCTTGATCGCTGATTTTCACCTGCTCAGGTACTTTCTCATATTCTGCCAGTTCCTGGAATGTAAAAGATAAACCATCAACAGAAGGTGCACCTACACTATGGCATTAATCCAGTTTGACAACACTTCCATAGCTAAATGCTACAGAATCCTGGAAGTTGTAGTTTCACAAGCATTAACTACATTCCATATCATAGAGCAGTGTTTCTCAACCTTCCTAATGCCGCAACCCCTTAATACAGTTCCTCCTGTTGTGGTGGCCCCACAACCATAACATTGTTATCGTTGCAACTTCACAACTGTCATTTTGCTCCTGTTATGAATCGTAATGTAAATATCTGATATGCAGGATGTATTTACATTCACTGGACCAAATTTGGCACAAATACCCAATACGTCCAAATTTGAATACTAATAGGGTTGGGGGGGGGATTGATTTTGTCATTTGGAGTTGTAGTTGCTGGGATTTATAGTTCACCTACAATCAAAGAGCATTCTGAACTCCACAATGATGGAATTGAACCAAACTTGGCACACAGGATTCCCATGACCAACAGAAACACTAGAAGGGTTTTGTGGGCATTGACCTTGATTTTGGGAGTTGTAGTTCACCTACATCCAGAGAGCACTGTGGACTCAAACAATGATGGATCTGCACCAAACTTGGCACGAATACTCAATATGCCCAAATGCGAACACTTGTGGAGTTTGGGGAAAACAGACTTTAACATTTGGGAAGTGTAGTTGCTGGGATTTATAGTTCACCTACAATCAAAGAGCATTCTGAATTCCAACAAGGACGGAATTGAACCAAACTTGGCACACAGAACTCCCATGAACCAAAGAAAATACTGGAAGGGTTTGGTGGGCATTGACCTTGAGTTTGGGAGTTGTAGTTCACCTACAGAGAGCACTGTGGACTCAAACAATGATGGATCTGGACCAAACTTGTCACGAATACTCAATATGCCCAAATGTGAACACTGGTGGAGTTTGGGGGAAATAGACCTTGACATTTGGGAGTTGTCGTTGCTGGGATTTATAGTTCACCTATAATCAGAGCATTCTGAACTCCACCAACGATGGAATTGAACCAAACTTGGCCCACAGAACTCCCATGACCAAAGGAAAATACTGGAAGGGTTTGGTGGGCATTGACCTTGAGTTTGGAGTTGTAGTTCACCTACATCCAGAGAGTACTGTGGACTCAAACAATGATGATCTGGACCAAACTTGGCACGAATACTCATATGCCCACAATGTGAACACTGGTGGAGTTTGGGGAAAATAGACCTTAACATTGGGAATTGTAGTTGCTGGGATTTATAGTGCACCTACAATCAAAGAGCATTCTGAACCCTACCTACGATATAATTGCACCAAACTTGGCACACATTCGCATTTATTTTTCGAAGCGAAAAATAAATGCAAATCCCAGGGTCAAACCAGGCCTTCAAATGCAGGAAAAGCAATACGTGAGATATTTGCAAATTCCAGGCTGCCATCGAAAAAGAAGATATACATATAATATCTCTATATATAGCCTCAAGACCTATAAAAAATCAGCAGATTTAGTGGAACAAAATGCTGTTATAACAGCCGGTAGGCTGTTAGGAATTGTGGGAGTTGTAGTCCAAAACACCTGGAGGGCCCAAGTTTGCCCATACCTGATGTAAATGCATTAGGAATTGTGGGAGTTGTAGTCCAAAACGCCTGGAGGGTCCAAGTTTGCCCATTCCTGATGTAAATGCATTAGGAATTGTGGGAGTTGTAGTCCAAAACTCTAAAGGAAGGCACAATGTTAGATAGCCATCCAGTCTCTGCTGTCTGGATCTTGCAAGCTGGGGAGGGGGTGAAGGGACGCTGGGATTTGTAGTCCTAAGAGGAGACTCCAGTTGTCTCAGGCTGCAGGGGCTGGGATGTGTAGTTCGACTCTTACCCGGATCAAACGCAGGACTTCAGTGCAGTCTTCAGCCTGGCAATCCCGGATCGAGACCGCTGGGTCCATGTTGCTCCTCCTCCTGCTCTCTGGGCCCCAGGACTACATTTCCCAGCATGCCTCGGGAAAGAGGAGGGAGGCGGGGGAAGGAGGGGAGAGGGGATGAATGCAGAAGGAATGAATGAATGAATGAGTGAATGAATGAATGAATGAATGAATGAATGCAGCTTGATCCCAGTTTAACTGCTATGGGAATTCCAAGGATTGTAGTTTTGCAAGATCTTGGGAGTCTTTAAACGTCTCCTAGGAATAGTTGTTGTTGTTATTATTATTATTATTATTTATATAATCCTAGAAATAGAGATATAATAATTTATAATAATAATAATAATTTACATGCTCCTTTTCCTTAGAAGAGATGCAAACTCCTTTGCAAACGTTCTTTGAAGGAACTACCAAGGTAACTAACTACCTGTTTCCCGTTACTACCAAGGTAACTACTAATTATCACTATTTCTACGATTATTATAATTGCAGAAATACAATAATAATAATAATAATAATAATAATAATAATAATTATTATTATTATTATTATTATTTACATGCACTTTTTTCTTAGAAGAGATGCAAACTCCTTTGCAAACGTTCTTCGAAGGAACTACCAAGGTAACTAACTACCTGTTACCCGTTACTACCAAGGTAATTATTTCTACTATTATTATAATTGCAAAAATACAATAATAATAATAATAATAATAATTATTATTATTATTATTATTATTTACAAGCCCTTTTTTCTTAGAAGAGATGCAAACTCCTTTGCAAACGTTCTTCAAAGGAACTACCAAGGTAACTAACTACCCGTTACCAGTTACTACCAAGGTAACTACTAATTATCTCTATTTCTACGATTATTATAATTGCATAAATATAATAATAATAATTATTATTATTATAATTATTTACATGCCCTTTTGTCTTAGAAGGGATGCAAACTCCTTTGCAAACGTTCTTCAAAGGAACTACAAAGTAACCAACTACCCATGTAACTAACAACCCGTTACCCGTTACTACCAAGGTAACCACTAATTATCTTTATTTCTACGATTATTATAATTGTAGAATAGTAATAATAATAATAATAATTTACATCCTCCTTTTCCTTATGTTCTTCGAAGGAACTACCAAGGTAACTAACTACCCAAGTAACTAACTACCCATTACTACCAAGGTAACTACTACTTATCAGATAACTACTACTACTATAATAATACTATAATAATAATAATAATAATAATAATAATAATAATAATAATAATAATAATTCTACAATTATAATAATCGTAGAAATGGAGATAAGACTTATCTCCATTTCTACGATTATTATAATTGTAGAATTATTATTATTATTATTATTATTTACATGCCCTTTTTCTTAGAAGGGATGCAAACTCCTTTGCAAATGTTCTTCCAAGGAACTACCAAGGTAACTAAGTACTCGTTACTATCAAGGTAACTTCTCAATAATAATCATTTTCTCTATTTCTGCTACTATTATAATGATAAACATAGAGATAATATTATATGGTAAATAACTACCCATGTAACTAACTACCTGTTACCCGTTACTACCAAGGTAACTACTAATTATCTCTATTTCTACAATTATTATAATTGAGGACAAATTGAGGACAAGGACGGAAGGGTTTTCTGGAGGCCCCACAAACACTCCATTGTATTTACGCCATCTTCACGACAGCCCTGCAAAGTAGGCCCAGGAGTACGTATTTTGTGAGTTAATCATCTTTTCCTTAATTTCTAGCAACTGTTAATAAACAATCCGCCGAGTCCAGAGGGCATCCGTAGGAAAGGTCAGAAGGGACTTCAATGTGGAACCGCTGATCTCCAGGCTTCTTGGTATTTTGCATAAACAGCAGAGCTTGGGGAAGTTACTTTTGCACAAGGCGGCTGGGAGGGGATTCTGGGAGGCGTAGTCCCCAAAAGTAACTTCTCCAAACTTTGCGTAAGGGGCGTTTTTTCCTTAGAACTTAGTCTGAAAGAGTAATGCTCATCAAAACTGGCTGTTAATACATATATTATAGATTGACCATGTGTTAACCAGAATCACAAAATACTCCAAAATCTGAAATTGTCCATCTGAGAGGCTGCAAGAGTATTGCCTTTGCATTCATAAAATTTTGTATCATGCACAAGATCATCATAAATATTGTGATATGTATATATGTATACACACATATGTATACACATAGACATGTATATACATGTATACACACATATACTGTATATATATATATACACACACACACACAAATGCAGTTTTATATACACATACATATATACACACAGATACATATATACATAGATATATGCACACATGTGTATACATATACATATGTGTAGACAAATATACACACATATACTGCATATATATATATATACACACATATACATGCACATATACATATATACACAGATATATATATACACACAGATATAGACATATTCACACATACTGTACACATATATTCACACACGTACATATATACACACACATACATATATACACATATATACACGTATACATAAACACAGATATACGGTATACATATATATAGACACATATATTCACACATACATATACACACATATACTGTATACAGATATATGTACACACATATACTGTATACATATATTCGCACACATACATATCTTCACACATACACACATATACATGCATGTATACATATATACACAGATATACTGTATACATATATATATATACACACATATACATATATTCATACATATACACACATATACACACATATCTATATGCGTGCGCACACACACATAAATATATACACATGTATACATATATACATACATATACTACGGTATATACATACATATATATACACATACACACAGACATATACATATACATATATACACATATACACACACACATATGCACACACACACATTTACAGGATGCATCCTCTTCAATGGAATTCCGAAAGTGTCTGCACGGGTGGCTGAGAGGGCATCGCCTTCGCTTTGGGATACACACAAACCTTTATTTTATGTACAAAAATATTTAAAATGTTGGCTATGAAGTGTCCTTCCAGCTGTGTGTACCGGGTTAGTGTGAAACACAAATGAACTGTGAACGGATTTCCATTGTGTTCTCTGCAAAATATTTCAAAATAAAATACCATGAAATAAAATAATTGTCATAATGAAATAATACGATAGTAAAATGTCATAAAATAATATAATATCATAAAATAAAATACTGTAAAAATAATGAAATAATGTGTAGGAATGCCCTCATCCCCCTGGATTTCACAGGGAATGAATTTGGGGTGTTCCGCATGGCTTGATGCCCTTTTGCCAGGAGAAGTAGAGGAGGAGGAGGAGGAAAAGAAGAAGGAGGGAAGAGAGAGAGAAAGAGAGAAGGAGAGGTGGAGGTCCAGTTGCTGGTTTTGTCTACTCCAGTGCAGTCCAGTTGAACAGGACAGGAGAGGGAGTGAGGAAGGAAGGAAGGAGGAAAAGAAAGAAAGAGAGAGAGAGAGAAAGGAAGGAAGGAAGAAAGGAAGGAAGGAAGGAAAGAAGGAGGGAAGGGCAAGCCTGTGCATAGGATCAGGACGCTTCGGAGGAAGCCATGAGTTTCGTTGTGCGTCCCTGCGCTCCCAAAGACCTGAAGGACATCCTACGTCTTATTAAGGTGAGCCACAAAAGTTGAGCTGTAGCCATCTACACTGTGGAATTAATGCAGTTCGACGCCACTTGAACTTCCACGGCTCAATGCTATGGAATCCTTTAAGTTGTGGTTTGATGAAGGCTAAAAACCACAACTCCCATTATTCCATTGCATGGAGCCGTGGCAGTTCCAAGTGAGGGTCAAAGTGTGTTAACTCTGCATTGTAAACACACCATATTGTGAAAACCCAACCCTATGGACGCCCGCCATAAATGTGGGCAAAATGCCCAGAAAACTCAACCTAACCCAACTCAACTAAACCCAACTCAACCCAACCCAATTCAACCCAACCCAACTCAACCCCACTCAATCCAACCTAACCCAACTAAACCCAACCCAATCCAACTAAACTCCACCCAACCCAACCTAACCCAACTCTACCCAACCGAATCCAACTCAACCCAACCTAACTAAACCCAACTCAACCCAACCTAACCCAACTCAACCCAACCCAATTCAACCCAACTCAACTCGACCCAACTCAACCCAACCTAACCCAACTAAACCCAACCCAATCCAACTCAACCCAACTAAACCCAACTCAGCTCAACCCAATCTAACCCAACTCAACCCAACCCAATTCAACCCAACTAAACCCAACCCAATCCAACTAAACTCAACCCAACTCAACTCAACATAACCCAACCCTTGTTTAGACCATTTTCTCTCTTTTTTTTGCAGGAAATTGCAGTTATCTACAACGTCCCGTTGACCCAACTGTACACTAATGTGGATGGTAAGGAATGCCATGAGGTGTCTGTCTGCATTGTTGTGCAAAACAGCCTTGCCCAGTTTCTGTTGGACTGGGTGCATCTACACTGCAGAACGAATGTGGTTTGACACCCTTTTGGTTCGGTGCTAAGGAGGGAAAGGTGCGGCATCCATGCCACTGAATCCCAGAATTGGAAGTGACCTCTAAAGTCCATCTAGTCCAACCCCATTCTGCCACTCAAGAAAAGGCACCATCAAAGCACCCCTGACAGATGACCATTCAGATGTCCTTTTTCTCTGCTTCTCCCCCAGTGCTTCACAAACACGGATTCGGGGAGAGACCCAAATATGAGTGTTTTGTGGCCGAAGTTCCCCCGGAACAGAAAAGCAAGGAAGGTAAGGAAGCGGACAAAGAGAAAAATAATACAAGTTTCCTTTTCACTTCTTTGCCATGTCTTGCTGTTTGAAGTGGATTATATGGGTCAGTGTAAACCAGGCATGGGCCAACTTGGGCCCTCTGGGGGTTTTGGACTTCAACTCCCACAATTCCTAACAGCCAATAGGCTGTTAGGAATTGTGGGAGTTGAAGTCCAAAACCCCCAGAGGGCCCAAGTTGGCCCATGCCTGGTGTAGACTCAGAGAATGCAGATTGAAGTTCATGAGTCTACACTGCCATATATAATCCAGTTCATTGCAGTTAATCTGCATTCTGAAACTGGAATGTATGGCAGTGTAGATCAGGCCCAAGAGGCCAAGCCTAGAGTATGTCCGAGGTTAGAATTCAATAACTTGGGAAACTCCTTCTAAAGTTCGGACTAAAACTCGGAGCGGTTGTCAAAGACAAACTCGTATATCTTTCGCCTTTCACTCCATTTGGCAAAATAATTTTAATATGTATGTTGGGGTTACGATTCAATAACTTGGGAAACTCCTCTAAAGTTCGGACTAAAAGCCGGAACGGATTGCACAGATACACTCTGAGATTCCTTTAGTCTTTCACTCCATTTAGAATATTAATGTCGCTATTGTCATTGATATGTAAACTCATCTAATGTTCGGACCAAAACTCGGAGCGGATGGCGAAGATGCACTCGTATATCCTTTGCCTTTCACTCCATTTGGCAAATTAATGCCGCCATTGCCATTAATGTGTCTGTTGGGGTTAGGATTCAATAACTTGGGAAATTCCTCTAAAGTTCGGATTAAAGGCCGGAACGGATTGCACAGCTACATCCTCGGATTCCTGTCGTCTTTCACTCTATTTGGAAAATTAATGTCGCTGTTGCCGTTAATATGTAAACTCACTTAAAGTTCGGAGTAAAACTCGGAGCGGATGGCGAAGACACACTCGAATATCTTTCGCCTTTCACTCCATTTTGCAAATTGAAGTTGCCATTGCTGTTTTTCACTCTATTTGGAAAATTAATTTCGCTGTTGCCATTAATATGTAAACTCATCTAAAGTTCGGACTAAAACTCGGAGCGGATGGCAAAGACACACTCATATATTTTTCATCTTTTATTCCATTTGGCAAATTAATGTCAGCATTGCCATCTTTCACTCTATTTGGAAAATTAATGTCGCTGTTGTCATTAATATGTAAACTCATCTAAAGTTCGGACTAAAACTCGGAGCAGATGGCGAAGACGCACTCGTATATCTTTCGTATTTTACTCCATTTGGCAAATTAATGTCACCATTGCCATTAATATGTCTATCTGTCTATTTATCTATCTTTCTGTCTATCTATCGATCAATCGATCTGTTTCCATAGGCCATACTATCATTGGCTACGTCCTATCCACATATACCTATAGTACCTGGAAAGGGAGAAATCTTTATATCGACAACTTCTACGTCATGCCGGAATTTAGAGGTAGGACTATAAATCCCTTCTCTATCCTGTAGATGTGTATGGAGTGTGTGTGTGCAGAATTGTTGACATTAGGTGCATCTACACTGTGGAATTAATCCAGTTTTGCACTGCTTTCAAAATGCCATTGATTTTTCTTGCAGGGAGGCGCATTGGGAAGAAGCTCATGTGCTTAGCTGCTGAGGTAAGTTTGGGGAAATGGCACTCATGGGCCAACTTTATCCCTCCCGGTGTTTTGGACTACAACTCCCACAATTGTAGGCTAGGCTGTTAGGAATTGTGGGAGTTGAAGTCCAAAACACCGGGAGGGACAAAGTTGGCCCATGAGTGCCATTTCTTCTCGTCTTGTTTTCGCTCAGGCGGCTTGGAGACAGGGCTGCACCGAATTACGAATGCATTCTTCGTCCGAAAAGCCGGAAAACCACGCCGTTTTGCAGCGCTGGGAAGCGGAAGACCTCAGCTCCAAACACGGCTGGCACCTTCTCCGCTTCTATAACGACACCCTGAAGAGGCGGGCTGCCCAGAGCAAGGTCTAGCCCGAGCGGCTTGTGCATACACTCGGAAAGAATATCGGTCTGGGCCACATCCAAACACGTCCCGAAAATAAAACACTGAAAATGGTTTCCAAGAGGTTGAGAGTGTGTGACTTGTGCATTTCCACGACCAAAGGTGCATCTACACCAGGTATGGGCAAACTTTGGCCTTCCAGGTGTTTTGGACTTCCATAATTCCTGTTCAGAGGGGCTTGGGCACTACTTTAATAGCCACAGCTCAGTGGTACAGAGTTCTGGGAGTTGTAGTTTTCCGTGGAAACCCATTGAGTGATCATGGGTTGGATAGGACATACTCTCAACATCAGGATAGGGCAGACATGTATATATGTGGTGTATGTTAGGCTGTTAGGAATTGTGGGAGTTGTAGTCCAAATCACCTGGAGGGCCCAAGTTTGCCTATACCTGATGTAAATGTATTAGGAATTGTGGGAATTGTAGTCCAAAACACATGGTGAGCCCAAGTTTGCCCATACCTGATGTAAATGCATTAGGAATTGTGGGAGTTGTAGTCCAAAACACCCGGAGGGCCCAAGTTTGCCCATGCCTGATGTAAATACATTAGGAATTGTGGGAGTTATAGTCCGAAACACCTGGAGGGCCCAAATTCGCCCATGGCTCATGTACATGCATTAGGAATTGTGGGAGTTGTAGTCCAAAACACCTGGAGGGCCCAAGTTCGCCCATAACCGATGTAAATTCATTAGGAATTGTGGAAGTTGTAGTCCAAAACAACTGGAAGGCCCAAGTTTGTCCATGCCTGATGTGAATGCATTGGGAATTGTGGGAGTTGCAGTCCAAAACACCTGGAGGGCCCAAGTTTGCCCATACCTGATGTAAATGCATTAGGAATTGTGGGAGTTGTAGTCCAAACCACCTGGAGGGCCCAAGTTTGCCCATACCTGATGTAAATGCATTAGGAATTGTGGGAGTTGTAGTCCAAAACACCTGGAGGGCCCAAGTTTGCCCATGCCTGATGTAAATGCATTAGGAATTGTGGGAGTTGTAGTCCAAAACAACTGGAAGGCCCAAGTTTGTCCATGCCTGATGTGAATGCATTAGGAATTGTGGAAGTTGTAGTCCAAAACACCGGGGGGGGGGGAGTTTGCCCATACCCGATGTAAATGCATTAGGAATTGTGGGAGTTGTAGTCCAAAACATCTGGAGGACCCAAGTTTGCCCATAACTGATGTAAATGCATTAGGAATTGTGGGAGTTGTATTCCAAAACACCTGGAGGGCCCAAATTCACCCATACCTGATGTGAATGCATTAGGGATTGTGGGAGTTGTAGTCCAAAACACCTGGAGGGCCCAAGTTTGCCCATGTCTGATGTAAATGCATTAGGAATTGTGGGAGTTGAAGTTCAAAACATTTGGAGGGCCAAAGTTTGCCTATGCCTGATCTACACAGTGGAATTAATGCAGATTGCACTACTTCAACTGCCCTGCTTCAATGCAGTTTTGCAATAACTGCAGCCTTAAAGGCCTTGCCAAACTACAACTCCCAGCATTCTATAGCACTGAGCCACTTAAAAGTGGGGTCGAAGTGTACCCTTTGTAGAAAATGCTTGACTTGCAGTTTATTCTGTAACTTGTGCGCCATTGATATTCCCCATATGCCAACTTCTGCTAATGTTTAACTCGAACTCGGTTCCTGTTGACCTTGGAACCCATTGGCTTAAATCAGCCCTTCCACTTATCACCTACAATTTTGGACTCCAATTCCCAGAATCCCAAAGTTGGGAAATTATGAACGTAATGGAAATCCCAAAGTTCTTTTTTTAATAATGACAATGATGATGATGATGATGATGATTAGGTAACTTTTCCAACTTTTTCCATGCTATGGAACCCTGGGGTTTGTAGTTTCACCAAGGTCTTGAGGCTTCCTTGCAAAAGAAGGCTGGGAATGACAATAACAATAACAACAACAACAACAATAATAAGGTTACGTTCCAAACTTTTCCAGATTTTCCCATACTATGGAACCCTGGGGTTTGTAGTTTTTCCAAGGTCTTGAGGTTTCCTTGCAAAAGAAGGCTGGAAATGACAATAATAATAACAACAACAACAATAACAATAATAATAAGGTTACTTTCCAAACTTTTCCAAACTTTCCCATGCCATGGAACCCTGGGGTTTGTAGTTTCCCCAGGGTCTTGAGGCTTAATGAAGGCTAGGAATGACAACAACAACAACAATAATAAGGTTACTTTCCAAACTTTTCCAAACTTTCCCATGCCACAAAACCCCGGGGTTTGTAGTTTTCCCAAGGTCTTGAGGCTTCCCTGCAAAAGAAAGCTGGGAATGACAATAATAATAATAATAATAATAATAATAATAATAATAATAATAATAATGAAGACGATGATAATTAGGTTACTTTCCAAACTTTTCCAAACTTTCCCATGCTATGGAACCTTGGGATTTGTAGTTGCAAAAGAAGGCTGGAAATTACGACGATGCCGATGATGATGATGATGATGATGATGATGATGATGAGGTTACTTTCCAAACTTTTCCAAACTTTCCCATGCTATGGAACCCTGGGGTTTGTAGTTTTCCCAAGGTCTTGAGGCTTCCTTGCAAAAGAAGGCTGGAAATTACAATGATGATGATGATGATGATGATGAGGTTACTTTCCAAACTTTTCCAAACTTTCTCATGCTATGGAAACCTGGGTTTTGTAGTTTCCCCAAGGTCTTGAGGCTTCCCTGCAAAAGAAGGCTGGGAATGACAACAACAACAACAACAACAATAATAACAACGACGATAATTAGGTTACTTTCCAAACTTTCCCATGCTATGGAACCCTAGGGTTTGTAGTTTCCCCAAGGTCTTGAGGCTTCCTTGCAAAAGAAGGCTGGGAATGACAACAATAATAACAACAACAGCAACAACAACGATGATGATTAGGTTACTTTCCAAACTTTTCCAAACTTTTCCAAACTTTCCCATGCTATGGAACCTTGGGATTTGTAGTTTCCCTAAGGTCTTGAGGCTTCCTTGCACAAGAAGGCTGGAAATTACGATGATGATGATGATGATGATGAGGTTACTTTCCAAACTTTTCCAAACCTTCCCATGCTATGGAAGCCTGGGGTTTGTAGTTTCCCCAAGGTCTTCAGGCTTCTTTGCAAAAGAAGGCTGGGAATGACAATAATAATAATAATAATAATAATAATAATAATAATAATAATAATAATAATAATGATTAGGTTACTTTCCAAGCTTTTCCAAACTTTCCCATGCCATGGAACCCCGGGGTTTGTAGTTTCCCCAAGGTCTTGAGGCTTCCTTGCAAAAGAAGGCTGGAAATTACAATGATGATGATGATGATGATGAGGTTACTTTCCAAACTTTTCCAAACTTTCCCATTCTATGGAACCCTGGGATTTGTAGTTTCCCCAAGGCCTTGAGGCTTCCTTGCAAAAGAAGGCTGGGAATGACATCATTATTATTATTATTAGTATTAATTACAACAACAACAACAACAAGGTTACTTTCAAAACTTTTCCAAACTTTCCCATGCTATGGAACCCTGGGGTTTGTAGTTATCCCAAGGTCTTGAGCCTTCCCTGCAAAAGAAGGCTGGGGCTCCATTACTATTGCTATTACTTACATAAAGCGGCTCCACCAAACTACAACTCCCAGGATTCCATAGCATAGGATCGTGCCCATTAACTGGTGTCAAAACAGCATTAATTCCACGGTGTAGATGCAAAGGAGACCTTGCAAAGCGACACGTGCATTGAGCCACGGCAGTTGAAGTGGGGTCGAATGGCATGCATTCCCTCATATATGTAGGATGATGTCCCTTTTCCAAGGATGGCTGCATTTTAAGCGAAGGGCTGGTCCGGGGGCAAGTGGAGGAGGGCGTCCAGGAAGATGCTGAGGGTCCCGATGGAGGTGAAGATGATGAAGGTCCAGAAGAAGAGGCGGTCCACCACGAAGGCCACGTATTCCCAGTCTTCCCTCAGCTGGAAATGGGGAGAAAGAGGCTGAGACCGTGTGACTCACCCAGAGCCATTCATTGGGTTTCCATCTCCACTGCTATTACAATGCAGATTGAACTTCACGCTCTGCTCAGTGTGGACCACTAGACTCACCGCGTCGTGGTCCTCCTCCTCCTGGAGCTGCTCCGCGATGTACAGAACCGCATTCATGGCCGACTTCAGGTCCGGAGGGAGGGTGACGCTGTGGCTGCTGGGACCCTCAATGAATTTTTTCATGTCGGTGGAGAAGGCCTCCAGCTGGAACCTTGGGAGGATGAGGCAGAGGAGAGAGGGTCCAAAAGAACAAGAACCACGTTCTTCC